TTTTAAACGGTAACTGTAACGGAATACAGTTACTCATATTTTGTATTTTAAATACGTAACGGCGGTACATGTATTCCGTTACTCCCCAACACTGCATACAAATGCCAACTTGGCCCTACTACGTTGCAAACCGATAACAGGCTGCTACTAACTTTCGATGGCCGTTTTATCACCTTCTTGAAATCACTTTGAGGACGTCAACTGACTGCAAGTGGGTGTAGACCTGACTCCTGAATCCAAACAACCATTTTAAACTCAAAAGATTTTTAAGTTTGTTGCACACAATTGCAATAAATTTTAGTCATGCCACGGCCTCCAGTGGCTGTTTTCCCTGTGGTGACCTAAGCTTGTAAAAGTACAGACATTCTGTACAGATAGTAATGTTAAAAATAATCAAATAATATTTGATTACTGAGTATTTGCATGTAAGCTTTAAATTTCCAGTTTATCAGATACCACTGAGCAATCTTTACCTTTAAAAAGAAAATGTAGGGAGTAAATATGAAAAGACGCTAGAAAAAGAACTAGTCAAGTAAAATACAGATACCTGAAAATTGGGCATTGCAACTATTGCATGTTTAAGATGCACCATCTTCACCACTGAAACCAAGAAGCTAAGAGTATGGTTGGTTAGTGTGGGGTGAGCTATTGGTTTACCCTCGTGGGAGTTTCATTATGACCCAAAGAGGATTTTTAAACAATAGCGTTCAGTTTTATATGGCATCTTCCAGGATTACTGAGCTAGAATAAACCACTGCAAGCTGTTAGTAACAGAGTAAAGCTACAGTAGGTTTTAAAATGTCACACTATAGTACTTAGTAAGCAATTAATAACTGGAGTAAGATTATATAAAGGTTGCTGAATATTAGCCAAATAATGACCGATTTTTGATAATGCTAACTCAAGTCACAGTCAAAAACACGTGATGCCAGTTGCACAGATAAATGCAGTAAATCTAAAGTTCTAGCATCAGCCTCCATTAGCGATATGCTGATAGTCATGCCAGTCCAAATAAGGCTGTGAAAGCAAACCCATTTTATTCAATTTAAATGGGGATAAAAAAAATAGTGGATTTTGAGTTGTACTTCACTCTATTTTTTTAAAGGCACATTAAAATTGCATAGTTACAGTGTTGCTTTAGAGATTCTCTCTTTAAATACAAGTATATTTGACAGTTATGTAAAATATAGCTAAAAAAAAAAAATAGTTATTTACTGTATAAATATCAGTCAACTTCTCTGGGATCTCAGATTCTGATCATTTCGCCAGATGTGACTCTTGAATAGCACCCTGAACAAATTCATAATTACTTCAATCAGCTTTTGTTATCAGATGTTGAGCTACTCTGAGCTGCTGTCTCATGGTTCGACTTCCACCGCGTTATAGCCATCTTCAGAGACCTGTTGGGGGTGAGGAGTGTTGTCTGCAGAGGTAGGTTTGTCATGGGGCTGGTTTTATTCTTGCCTCTAATCCAGCTCTCAATAGATTCCCGCTCATAGGAATAGCCATCTGTGGAGCACACATGCAGTGACATCCCAAATACACTGAGATAATACAAAAATCTTTATAGTGAAGCTGTCCCCATCTTTGGCTCAGTTTAAGACGCTAGGGACCAAGTGCTTTTAATTTGTAAACTAACCTGCAGCAATGACCGGATCCTTCCTCAGCTCTCTGGTGATTGGGCACAGGAATTCATCTGGGGCTTCTGAACCATTCTGTTCGGCCTTCAGGGCCTCGATTCTCCTCAGGAGACGACCACGAAGGCCCACCGACTCTAAAAAACCAAAACGCCGTTCAGTGTCCTTTTTTAGCCATGATGGTGATTTATATCGAGTACAGTGCACCTTTTCTTAATTTTCAAATGTAGTGAAAAGGCTGGTCTCAACATTTCATTTGGCATCATTTAAACCTCATTATCATTACCTTACAAAGACCAACCAAAGACAGTTGTATGTTAATGGTATTCAATAGCAATTTCAATGAATTTGGGTTAACGCAGTGAGGCAGCAGGCACTGAACACACTGACTTTGTTCTCTCTCAGAACAAAAGTGAGGATAAATCTGAACTTGCACATGATCACTCTGTACTGAGACACAAAGAGCCAGACACCTTGCTGTGTCATGATGGCTGCTTAGCTAACGTCTCTCATTATCCTGCTCGGAAATTAAACTCCAACAGGTCCAAAAAGAGGAAAATCATTCTGCACACAGCTGCACGTCTCTGCCCACTGACAGCACCCAGTGAATTTATCATCAGCTGCAAATTTCACCACCAGCTAAAATGGAGTGATGACCTATACAGCCGCACATGATTAGTGGTGTGTCGGCATATAATGGCAGTGCCATGGAGGTGTAGGTCTCATTCAGACAGAGAGAGCAGCTGCAGTGACATTTTCTTTCACAAGTCCTGAAGATTTCGTTCACATATGGTGACAGCCAAAACAAAAAGAGAGGAAAAGCTCATTTATTCCTTCCTATCGCTATAGGTGACTGCTAAATCATCGCATGCATCCAAAAAAATTTAAGCTGACGTCACAAAAAATATATTTTCAGGAAATTTTATGCAGCCTTTATGGTTTAACTAACACCAAATTTATTCAGTTATTATTTCGTATTGTATAGATTAACTCCTTTTTAAGGTGGAACAGTGGTTAGCACTGTTGCTTCACAGCAAGAAGATCCTGAGTTCAATTCCACTGGTGTCTTTCTGTGTGAAGTGTGCATGTTCTCTCCGGGTACTCCGGCTTCGTCCCGCAGTCCAAAGACATGCAGTTAGTGGGGATAGGTTAATTGGAAACTCTAAATTGCCCATAGGTGTGAATGTGAGTGTGAATGGTTGTTTGTGTCTATGTGTTAGCCCTGTGGCAGACTGGCGACATGTCCAGGGTGTACCCTGGCTCTCGCCCCAAGAAAGTAGGGATAGGCTCCAGTGACCCTGAAAAGGATAGGCAGCAGAGAATGGATGGATAATTCATTTTTATATTAATGCTTAATGTGAATTTTTAGGGACATTACAGTTTTAAGTGACTGGTAGCTGCAGACTACCACACTCTCTGCTAATCTGAGCCATTGCACCAGACCTCTCAGTCATGTTTGTGTTTCTTTAATCCAGTTGCTTTGCAGACAATATTGCCATCTGTGTGGCACAGACAATCCAAGAAGTGTAGTATTTTATTTGTATGTTATGTAGCACAAATTATAAATAATATTCATCTGTGTGATTTAAGTCTAGAGATAAACTAACTAAAACAAAAAAAACCAAAACAAAAAAAAAGTAACTCCAAAACCCATTGCTGTATTGGTTTTGTCCATCTTTGATATAAAGTCTATAATTAAACTCACTTTCAAACAAGTTGGTGCACTGTGTGAAATGGAAATAAAACTGATTTTAGTGATATGCAAATCATCTACACCTTGTATGGAAATGAACCAGTATGAAGACAACATACCAGACATGTTTGTTTCAGCAAATTTGGAGAATATTTTTTGTTGCCATCAATTCTGCATACTGGAATAAGGTTCTGTTTGGAAAGTATGATTTTTTTTTATTTATATACTGGCCTGAACTAAATATATATATATATATATATATACTGTTTTTATAACCTATACAGAGTGTTCTCTTACTTAAGAAAAAAATTCAATGACTTGACCTTAGTGAATAAGAAATGTTTTCATGAGCTGTACTGAGGTTTATCATTGATTGATGTGCCAAGGTCATGTAATACTGAGTTTGGATGGCAAAAATGCAAAGTTGCAAGGATTTTTGCAACTTTTATACAACTGTGGCTTAAAGTTGTTTCTAATGATTGCACTTCTGGATAGTTTGTGTGTAGTTTGGTTTGCAAATAGCGGCATGTGCAATAGTTGAAATTGAATTCATACAGTATGCGCTCTAAATTTTTCTATCATACATCATGATGTACTGGTGAATATTTGATCCATTTATAGGATGCAATCAGCCTCCAACAAACTGGAGAGGTCTTCACAATCAGCTAATGCTCACAGGGGACCAGTCACTTCACTTACTGGGGAAATTAAATGTTGTGAGTATGTCTTAATTTTGCACTCATTCACTGAGCAGGAAGCAGAGATGGAGGGAGGAAAGAATTCACGCTCACATTATACAGACTGACTCGCCTTTACCATTAAGTCTGTGCCTTGAAAACGCTGCATTTAAGTTGAAACGCAGATGAAGCAGGGAAGACGTGCTGTCGGAACAACAAGTAGTTCAGATCCTATTGGAAAAATTGCAGCGTCCAATCAAACGCCTTCTCACATTGAAACCCCCCAAACCAATCTGAGTCATCCAATAAACGACTCTTAGATGGAAAAACTACACTTAACAGGGTAATGCTTCATTTAAGATTTCCATAAGTTCCCACACATCTTTTTCATGGAGACATAAGCCATTAGAACTATAG